GACAACAAGTAGTATTTTTTTAAATACGTGTTCATTAAAATGACATTTATAAAGGTTTTTAATATTCCAATAACACTACCAAAAATATTTAAATAACTAAATGAAACCTTATTTCACACACACCTTATTATACACCTTATTTCGAGTCATCAAAAAATACTATCGATTTTTATATCGATTATTTTTGGGGGAGCACCATCCTGCTGGTAGTAGAGCATTTGGTGTAACGCTAAGGGTACGTCATCAAGCATTTCGTCTAAGACGTCTTGCAGACACTCCAAGCACACTTCAGTCATTTTTGTATTATTTATAACGTGATTTGTGTTTGATGGATTTCTCAGTTTTTCACAAGTGTCAAAAAGACATTTTAAAGACAATAGATATTTAAAAATACAATAAAAAGTAAAAAAGTCTCCATCGCCATCGCCAACAAGTGATGTGCATGCGTTACGATAATTAGTGGTGTGTTTAACAGATTGTCGATAAAATAAAATACTCAAGATTAAAAAAAAATTTTTTCGGGCATTATTTTTTTACGGATTTGTGTTCAGTATCAGTAATATAGTAACCTCTGTAAATATGGCAAGAATGCAAAGTAACACCCTGTATAAAAGAAAGTCGTGTTAGTTACTCCACTTATAACTCAAGAACGGCTGAACCGATTTAGCTGAAAATTGTCAGGGAGGTAGTTTAGAGCCAGGAGAAGGACATAGGATACTTTTTATCCCGTTCGAAAAAAAAATGTCTGCTTATTTATTGCCATTAAGGCGGAACAAAGTTCGCCGGGTCAGCTAGTAATAAATAAATAAATATCCTTGGCCAGTCTAAAAGCCTAGCCTAGTCTTTCCTTTTTGAACTGATTTGATTTGCAAGTAATGATCTCAATCGAAACTAAGTAATAATGTTCACCAACGAGTATGCTATATTTATTACCTATGTATTTTTATCTCTGACTGATTTAAAGACTGAAAAATTTGTTAACTGTCTATTACGTTAGGTACTAGTCCTTGTAAAGTTAATTCAAGTCGTTATCTTTAAGTTTAAACATTTATTAAAAAGTTTTTTTTGGTTTATAAAAAAAACTATTTATCGTAATTTGTTATTTGGACTTGTGTTTTTGGAAAACAAGTGATTTAATTGTTGCTCCAGATTTTTATTGCTATTTATCCTTAAAATACACGCGACTTTATGACTTTTGTTATGATTAGTAGTTAATTTGTTACTGTAAAAGCTCGAATTGCAGTAAATCCTAAGATATTCCAGTAAAACCTAAGATCTACCAATTCCTAATGGTAAATGTCCCAAAAGGTTTGAGATTCGAACTCTTACCACCATTTCGTTGGTAAATCTTAGGATTTACATTAATGGCACGGTAAATGTTGAAAAACAAAACATGTCATAACGTTCTCAGGGCATCTCATCATCATCATCATCAGAAATTACTTCAATTGGAAAAAATCGAATCTATCTTAATATTGAAGTTGCCCTCTTTGTATTTCTAGTCGCTCACTTAGTAATGTAATCGCACGGACAGAATTTTAATATCTAAAATGGATTAAACATAACCCACTCTTTGTAAGCTCGTTCTGCATTTGATTATTAATCAATATTCGTCGTTAGGTAAGTTAATTTTTCGCTTACTCAAATTCATACCGCTCAAGTTATTAAAACAGTATGCCATCATCAGTCGCTAAGTTATTTTTTAGTCGATCGTTTTATAATTCCCCATTAAGAATTACTCATTGTTTTATTCCTAAAACCAACATCTACCAGCTGACAGAGGTAAAACCTAGCATATACTGAATTTGAATGGTAAAAGCTCGAAAAAATCGTCGTATTTTTAGAAATACTTACATTTACCAACTCATGTCGGTAAATCCTAAGACTTACACTTAAATCTTAAGATTAACCGTAGTTCGAGCTTTTACAGTAACAAATTAATTATGAAAGATTTTATTTTTTGTTACTTTCCTTGCCAAAATAAGTGGTACTAAATTCTAATATTGATTGTTGTGCAATAAAAGTAGGTATATTAGATTAAAAAACCTGTGTTTTTATTAAATTTCAACCGATTTCAACAGTTTTCATTAAAAGACTCGAGACCCGAGAAAACTCGAGACTGGCCTCGAGAATTCCCGAAACTCGAGAAAAAAAATAGGTCGAGAAATCAGAAACCCTACGGCGGGCGGGCAGAGGCAGACTTTCGCAGTATAGGTAAATGTGAACATCGAAAATGTGTCATTCCCTAGAATGGAGTTTAGTGAATTAATTTTAATAGCATGTGGTACATACCAGCTAAAACAGGCTCGATCATATTATGGGGAACATATTATCAGAGGCAACGGTTCCTATACTATTGAAGTGTGTAGAGACAGCCAGCAACCTACTGAACGATTACCCTACACCTTCGGCCAGTTGTAGCTTATTAAGGGGTAAGATACACAGCAGGCACATAAGCCGTAAAATATATTATGTTTAAATATTATTTATGAAAATAATTTAAATGGGCGGGAAGTAGTAAAACAATACTGCTGCAATTGTATGGTTGGCCGAAGAACAGTAGGTTGCTGTGCTCATGTCATGACAATTGTATGGTTTTTGAGCTGGGCAATGTATCAAGAACATGTATTACCACCTGCCCAGTTCCTGGATAATATTTTGTTGACCTATGAATCAGATTGAAAATAAAATAATCTTAGATTAATAAATTATTAATAATTTATTAATCTAAGAAAATAATGTAAAAAAATGGTGTTTTATTTTGCTTTTAACCTTTTTAAACTTAACCAAAAAACAATGTTTTTAATGATTTGGATACAAAATTATATTTATATTCTGTTTCTTACTGGTATAAGTGGTATAGACTATTAAATTTAACCAATAACCTTAGATTAAAACAAATTACATGCTGTAATGTCTGTCCACCTCAGGCCAAAGGTCCCATACTAAGTGGGCATAACCCTTTACTTTTTGTTAATTTACAATGATACACCATACACCTAGAGATGGGTAGTGGGTAAAAACCCATTTCACCCGATTGGGTTTAAACCGGGTGATTTGGGTAAAAACCCGGTTTTTACCCATTATCACCCATTCTGGCGGGTGAAAACAAAAATAGCGTTTTTTTAAAGTGAGAAATGGTATTTGTTGCTAAGGGGGCGTTCTAGTGTTACGTAATGCAATCTGGGGGGAGAGGAGGTCTTGAAAAACGTTACAATGCGTTACAGTGGCGGAAGGGCGGTCGATTTCAAGTTTTTAAGCAGAAGTACTTTGTAGTTGGTGTTGTTATTTGTAACTTTATACCGTAATGTCATCAAAGAGAGTGTTTGGCATCTTTGGCATCCCCCCCTCCATGTCCTTGCCATGATCACAAATTATTGTGTTTCTACTAAATTTCTTTTAAATCGGTTCAACGATTCTTGAAATAACACCATTTTATAAAATAATTGGTCACATCATCATAACGTGATCAATTTTACGATTTGGCCACGTATAAATGCATATTAGTGTTAAATTTCACTTATTACATATTAATCAATAAACTTAAATGAGAAAAATTCAATAAAAATAAAGAAAAGATACCAATTGAAATAATTATAAAATTATTTGTTTTCACCCGGTGTAAACACCCACGGGTGGAATGAAACGGGTTTTTATTGGGTTTTTACCCTCATGTGGGTTTTTACCCGGGTGGAAACCCATCTCTATAATAATAATAATAAAAAATGGTGTTTTATTTTGCTTCTAACCTTTCTAGTCTTAAGCAAAAAAAAATTTTTTTAAGGACTTGGATACAAAATGACATTTATATTATGTTTCTTACTGGTATAGACTATTTAATAAATAACAAATTACATGCTGTAATGTCTGTCCACCTCAGGCCAAAGGTCCCATACTAAGTGGGCATAACCCTTTTTGTTTAGGTATTTTACTAAGAACATTTAACCCGGATATTCTAATATTTTAGAATTTAGATACAAAAAATAAAGAGAGAAAGACGACTACCAAGCTTGAAAGTTGAATACATCTACCACCACAGAATACACCTACTTGGTATCTTTATAAAAAAGTATTTATCTTTATTAAACATTTCATTGGATATTAATATGCTTCCGAATAATATAAAAGTTATTTCATGGAAATATATTCAAACAATCTTTGATAGAGTGGTTAATAAAATTGTTAGAGGATTTATGACTATTTTTTAAAATGTTTGTATGGGTAGATCGATAATTATGGACTTTTATTTAGTTGTAACATCTTTGTTATAATTTTAAAAAGCTAATAAATTATTTATCTTGATTTTAAATCGCTTCTATTACAACTAACATAATATTAAGATGTCATAGTGTTTAGCTGGACTTTAGTATTGTGTAGTTACCTCATCCAAAAAGCTACGTTACTGCTTTGTCAAGGAATCGCGGTCAAAAGTTCGATATCTATTGGGGCACCACTTAAATATATTCTCGCTGAGACATGTGATAAAACTCTAGTTTTATCTTCAAATAATAATACAGCGACACTGTGTAATTATTAGCTACCTATATTAAACATCTACTCGTAGTTAGACCTGCTGGCCTTGAATTATAATTTCACAAAATAGTTGGTCCCGACCTCTGGAAAGGTTAAGATCATCACTTTTATTTGTGTCTGCATAATGACTGGAGACAAGTTTTAACTATCGATTGATATTGTTAGGGTTCCGCGGATGGATGACACTCAAACCGAACAAAGTAAATAATAAACATTAATCCTTAGAACAGAGGACATAGGTAGGTACATAATAGATACATATTTGTTAATTTTTCACGCAAAACTACTGAACGGATAGTGATGAAACGTTACAGTACTTATTGTTTGTTTATACATCTGATTAACATTATACTAGAGTTAATGAGGGTTTCCTTAATTGTGCATACCAGTTGGCGCTATGGGCGAGTCAGCGAGTGATAATAAGACCTCACTCGACAGTGGCGTCAATCTGATGATAGCAAATGATGATGAGTCCTATTACTCCTTCAGCGCTCACCAGTTGGCGTCAACTGGCAACTGCGATTTCTGGACACTCATTGATTAGCCAAATTACAACGATAACATTCGTCAAAGAGAAAAGAGGACATTCGTCAGAGAAAACAGAACATTCGTCAGAGAGAAAAGAGAACATTCGTCAAAGAGAAAAGAGGACATTCGTCAGAGAGAAAAGAGAACATTCGTCAAAGAGAAAAGAGGACATTCGTCAGAGAGAAAAGAGAACATTCGTCAAAGAGAAAAGAGAACATTCGTCAAAGAGAAAAGAGAACATTCGTCAAAGAGAAAAGAGAACATTCGTCAAAGAGAAAAGAGAACATTCGTCAAAGAGAAAAGAGAACATTCGTCAAAGAGAAAAGAGAACATTCGTCAAAGAGAAAAGAGAACATTCGTCAAAGAGAAAAGAGAACATTCGTCAAAGAGAAAAGAGAACATTCGTCAAAGAGAAAAGAGAACATTCGTCAAAGAGAAAAGAGAACATTCGTCAAAGAGAAAAGAGAACATTCGTCAAAGAGAAAAGAGAACATTCGTCAAAGAGAAAAGAGAACATTCGTCAAAGAGAAAAGAGAACATTCGTCAAAGAGAAAAGAGAACATTCGTCAAAGAGAAAAGAGAACATTCGTCAAAGAGAAAAGAGAACATTCGTCAAAGAGAAAAGAGAACATTCGTCAGAGAGAAAAGAGAACGTTCGTCAAAGAGAAAAGAGAACATTCGTCAGAGAGAAAAGAGAACATTCGTCAAAGAGAAAAGAGAACATTCGTCAAAGAGAAAACAGAAGAAAGAATGTTCATCCTAAGAGTAGTAGTTGATTTTTAGTTGGCCGATAGTTGTGCCCAATTTTAAATTGTATGAAGAATCGGCCAAATCGAATCGGCGTAGTGTGCGCACTCCCATACATGCCCATACTGATCAACTACCCGACTAAACTATCGGCCGATGAAAAATCAACGGTGTGCGCCTACTCTAAAGAAAACAGAATGTTTGCCTTATTGAAGTGAATTATCCATACTATCCATATCCATACTTCCATACTATAATATTATAAATGGGAAAGTAACTCTGTCTGTCTGTCTGTCTCTCTTTCACGTCAAAACTGAACTGAACTGAACTGAACCGATTTGAATGAAATTTGGTACACAGATAGTCTAGAGCCTGAGAAAGGACATAGGCTACTTTTTATTGCAAAAAAGAGGTTGTAAGGGGTTAAAAGGGGGATGAAAGGTTGTATAAGTACTTGCTTTCACGTCAAAACTACTGAACCGATTTGAATGAAATTTGGTACACAGATAGTCTAGAGCCTGAGAAAGGACATAGCCTACTTTTTATTGCAAAAAAGAGGTGGTAAGGGGTTAAAAGGGGGATGAAAGGAATTAAATTGTATACACAGGGTCTAGAGCCTGAGAAAGGACAGAGGCTACTTATTATTGCTAAAAAGGGGTTGTAAGGGGTTAAAAGGTTGTATGAACCGATTTGAATGAAATTTGGTACACAGACAGCCCAGAGTCTGAGAAAGGACATAAGCTATTTTTAATGCGAAAAAGAGTTAAGTTATTATGTTATTAAATAATATATTTCGTTTTCTTTAAATACATAGCTTATTTAAGTATTTACGCACGTTTGGCTCATTTGTGAAATAATTAGACTAAATTATTAAAAGTGCCTACCTACTCAAAATCATTATTCCACGCGGACGAAGTCGCAGGCACAGCTAGTATATTATATAACAATGAATCGCAAAATGTGTTGGTAAGCGCATATTTCAACAACGCCTGGACCGATTTTACCAATTCTTTTTTTTAATGTTCGTTGAAGTCCAAGGATGGTTTTTACGGCGAGAAAAGTTCGAATAATTTCCGGGAAACCCCTAAACAAACTCGAAACTTCATCACTAAGGGAGTAAAACGGGGTCCAACGCGTACCTACGAAGTTGCGGGCGGTCGCGCTAGTCTATAGGTACTTATAATAAATCTGTAGAGAGGTCAATTCTGTACATGAAATATATTTTCAAAATAACTATCAGGGGGTGATTAGTGATCGATACTGATGCCAAAAATGCAATCAGTAAAATTTTTGTCTGTCTGTCCGTCTGTATGTTCCATAGAAACAAAAACTACTAGACGGATTTTAACGAAACTTGGTACAATTATTCTTCATACTCCTGGGCAGGTTAGTATACTTAGGAATTCCCAAGGGAACAGGAATTAGCGGGAAAATCCTTTTGTATGAAAAATCTAAACCGCTTAAGTTAGACGCTTGAAATTTGACATGTAGGTAGGTACCTTAATAAACTAAAAGCTTAGTTACAACAAGGAATTCCCGAGAAATTTCCACGAGAACGGGAATAAGCGGGAAAATCCTTTTGTATGAAAAAACTAAACCGCTTAAGTTAGACGCTTGAAATTTGGCATGCAGGTACCTTAGTAAACTTAAAGCTTAGTTACAACAGGATATTGCAAAATTCCCGCGGGAACGTGAGTTAGCGGGAAAAAACATTTGTATGAAAAAATCTAAACCGCGTAAGATAGATGAAGGGGGTAAAACGGGATCCACGCGTACGAAGTCGCGGGCGGCCGCTAGTAAAAAATATAATTCATGCAATGTATGCAAAAGCAAGAGATCAGCGCGGTACCTACTGCGTTCATGTCCAAGTCTTGTATAGAGGACCCCGATCTATGACTTAATCGGTTCACACTTGGCGTTTCTGCAAAAAATTACTTATATCTATTAACGCTGGGTAATTTTTTTAAGCTTTGACCTTTCCGTTGGCTAAATCTAGTGTAGGTAGGTAACCTAACCGACGCAACTGCCTCATCTGGAATTTTACTTAACTTTTTATACATAAATTAATTTAATAGCTTCTTATGTATTATGTTCCACCAGGTTCTATTTTCTTAACTCTGTGTTAAAAAATATTGAATTGTATAAGTCGGTTTAATCTCCCAATTATAATACGAATACGGACCCTCCTATGGGTAATTGGGAATCGTAGGTTCGAAAAAGTTGTAGCGACGAAAGCTGTTGCGAATATTTTTCCACTGCCTCATAAGTATAGGTTCGAAAGCTTATTTGGACGCGATTATTTTCTTTTTTTTTCTCTGCAATAAACAAAGTTTTTGAGATGCTAATAGTATGGAAATTGCCAAATTATTTTTACATTTAATATTTTTTATACATTTAAATTAAATACGAAATATTGAATAATGTTATACATAATTATGACAAATACGCAAATCAAAGTCCCAGGCAAATCGAAGGCAGTGAAAACTGCGTCATTCGCCACTACGTTTTTCGAACCTACGTCGCGTAGGGGACCCCAAATGTAGCGACCTAAGGTAGTGATATCAATACTTATAATTAAAATATTTACAAAATTTGCGATACATTCCTCTTATTTAGTAAATGTACGACCTATCAAATAAATATAAAAGAATACCTACTATGTAGAGAAATATGTTTGTAAGTAGGTAGGTATCTAAAGTTCAAACTTATTACTTATCAAAGGTCACTGGTAAAGCTTATTGCAAATTGCAATATTATTCGAGTATTTATTAATATGATTTGATTTGCCAAACATTGTGGACTCCAGTATCCTAGAGAGGTTATCTTTAAGTTTTTGTAATAGGCATTGTCATGGTAATCTATCATATGGCCCGTACCAAGCCAGGACCTGGCTTGAATCTATTCATTTATCAATCCGGGCTTCAGTTTCAATTTAGTTTCAACTGCACATAAAGCTATCTATCTGTAGGACCTGTAATGTTACTTGAATGGGTAGGTATTTTTGTAGAGTCGCATGAGTCTTTGATTGAAATATGTAGGTAAGTAGGTACTTGACAATGACTTTAGTGACAAGATTTTTCCAATGACACCATTGCCCAATTCACCTTACGACGACAGAGCTTTGCGACAAACGAATAAATAAATAATCACAAATAAAACCTTCAAAGTGCTTATGATAAAGTAGGTAGGTACATAATACACTCACACATGGAAGATGACTCGTGCGCGACGTGTATGAACCCGCGCGTACGCATGTGATGCGCGATGACCGAATCCGGGGAGCCGGAATATCGACATCGTATGTTTGTTCGCGCCTGACATTACGATAGATTGCCGGAGAAATGTATAAAAGATTTTGACACGAGCGTTTAGGCATCAGTCGCTCATCAGGTAGCATCCGAAACCAACCAAAAATTCCAAAATGAAATTGGTAGGTGTTTCCTGATTTTTATTATATTAGCAAATTATTTAATTAAATTTTAATTGGGATAATGAGAGGATATTGTGTGTTTGTTCACTAAATGGAGTGTTGTTTGTGCAGATCGTTTGCGTCGCTCTCGCCATCCTGGCCGTGGCCGCCGCCGCGCCCGCCACCCCCGTGCAGGGCGAGCCTGTGAAGATCCTTCGCAGCGAGTTCGACCAGGAACCCGAAGGCGGTTACCAATTCAGGTAATTAAACAACTTTATACTATGATAGTCTAGCAGTTAAATGCTGTAAGGAGTTCTAATCCGGGAAAGGATTGGTAAATCGCTCTGAAGCCTAGTGTACCTACCAACCCACTTAGGAAAATTCTTATTAATATTCTCAAATTATTAATTTGGTTTTGTAATAGCTACTTTAATTCTTACATAGATTAATTTATTAATCTACATGACTTCGGCCCAAAGAATAAGGGAAATTTACTTAGATAAAAAAACCGGCGTTCAAATTATTCGGACATTTACATACAAGACGCGCGTCTAGCATAAAATTGTCGTAAATATTGAACCAGGGTTCTCCTACTATGACATGAAGATAGCAAAGCTAGATCACGCATGCAAAGTTAGTTATGATAGGTAAAGTAGTATGAATATGGTTAACATTATCATATATAATTAAGATCTGATAAATATGTGTCCTCTATAAACATGTGCTAATCAATTCTCTGTCCACAGCTTCGAAACCGAAGATGGTACCTCCAGGCAAGAGAAGGGAGAATTGAAGTCTGCCGTCGATGAGGAGAACAAGCCCCATGACGTCGTTGTTGTCCGCGGATCCTACTCCTACACCAACAAGGAGGGCGTCTCCGAGACCGTCCAGTACTACGCCGACGAGACCGGCTTCCACGCCGAAGGACCCTCCATCCCCAAGTAAACAACTACCAACGACTATGGACCAACCGATACTCGACGAAACCAAACACGGCTTGAGTTTGCTCGGTTTGCGCCAGCAAAACCAACCGTGTTGTTTGTATTACAAATATAACATAGGTAAATAGAGTTGTTGCCATTAACGCGGGACGGCGAAGCATCAAACGCCTCTCTTGTTTCACGTTATTATTTGATGCACACTGCCATATTTTTTTACATTTGTACGTTTTTGTTATATTTTTACGGAATGTCGTAAAATAAAAGTTCGGCATAAATAAAATGTTTGCTTTTCCTTTTATTCATCCCACCATCCATTATCTCCAAACCATAAATGTTCATAATAAGTACGAGTATAATCATGACTCAATAGAGTATTAATTTGGCATTTAGGAAGATGTAATAGCTCCTATAGAACCGCATTATTGATGTAAAGGACTTGTTTAGTTATGGTGGCTACCATCTTTATGGTTTGGTATAATAGAGTAGGTAATATAGATTTGCTTCGCGCTCGACTCAGATAGTATACTCAAGATAGTTGAGTATGTAATCTGGAATAATTATGTCAATAGACTCCAAAATTAGTATTTTGGCCATTATTTTTATAGATTTTGGGTACTCCCAATTCACTCACAAATAGGACCACACAAGATTACTTAAATACTTGAGTAATTTTTAATAAGGTCATTATTATTATGAAACAACTTTTTACTGGGAGACCTAACTTCTAAAACAACAATCAAAGAATCAATCAAGGACTCTATCATCAAGAAATTAACATAAAAAAATGATAAGCTTTAGGTGTAGAGTATTACCTACTTGTAATTGAGAATTAATGTAGATCATTAGAGCGTAGGTAGCTAAAATAATAAAACTAGGAAGTAATGATGTTTGGAATAGGTAGGTATTTACTTCTAGATAACAAAATTAATCACACAAAAAAGCATCTAACCTCAATTATTAAAATACGAATTAATTGCAGTATTTGACCACTCACAAGCTTGAATATAAGCCCTTCGTATGATTTCACAATCGGGCTTAAGTAGGTAGGTACTTAGTAATTACCACAGACTCAAACAGCTTAGAGCTTTACTAAATGCGCATTTTAGCCCACTAAACCCTTGAGACTATCAAACTTGTAAAAAGTAATTAGGTACTATTTCAGACTATGTATTTTTTTACATAAACCTTTGTTATCTGTCATCCGCTTTGCACTAGAGGGAAGTCGAACCTTAACTTAATTTCGAACTCCTATGTTCTGAATAATTTTGTTTCTCAACAGGTAATAGGTATAAAGTTTTCACCAATTTCATGAAAAATCGTAAACATTAATATGGAATATCATATTGGCACAAATAGCTAAATGCCAATCCATTGCTGAACCCTAACCCCAAGAATCGCCGAAGAATACGATGTCCATTTTATATCTGGGCGGGCACTGCTAGAAACATTTAGATAAATATACATGAGTCCCTGTAAATGCTGCAAAGTACCTAATGTAGGTTAGTTTTTGTGCATAAGCTAAAATAGATTCCAGAATAGATCAGTTTAGGGGTCTCCAATTTCAGTAAGATTAATTTATAGGACAAACTGAATAAGCTCCAGTCTAAGCGAGGTCTTCTGTAAATTCCGTTGTCTTGTTCATTGATTCATAATGATCCTTACTGCTCTTAACATTTGGTGACCTGATGCATTTATATTTTATTACCATATTAATATATTCATCACATGTAGATATCTATAATGATGTTGTTTGATGTTTTCTGTAAAAAAACAACCTTTGCACGCCGCCATTGTGACTTTTAAGTAACAACCTATACTATCCTATACAGGGTGACTTGCAGTGAACATTGTATGGGGCTTAGGAAAAGTCAACCATTTATGAGATTGTATCTTGATTTTAATTTTATATTGAATAATCCTTAGTAGAATAGGGAGAGCAGACAAAACAAGACTATCCCATAGATTTTGGATGGCAAAGGCAAACTATGATGTCACTAGTTCGTGAACGCAAATTACTTAGGGCTGATTTTTCAATTGTCAGATATCTTTTAACTGAAGAATAGGTAACCTTATTTATAATTTTGACATTATGTCCCCCATACTGAAACTGTCAATGTACCAAACTTATACTTCAGTTAAAAGTTCTGTTTCAAAGATTGATTTGAAGAGTAATTCACTTTTCAGGGCTTTGAAGTGCTTTTTAAGTTAGGTCTATGAAATTTATAATTACGTGTAGATAGGTAGGTACTGGTGTAATTTATAGAAATACATTTTTTGACAGATTTATAAAAGATTTTGTAAAGTTGATTGGTGATGCAACGAAATAAAAAAAAGTATCTAAAATTAATTTAGAGCTAAGGTAAAAATATTTTGATTAATAAACTACGAGGTGTAACGGCGATATGTATTACTACGCTTTTATTCTTATTTTAATGCATACGAGTGTCGATGTTTATTTTCTATTAAGAAAAAGTATAGCTAAGAGATTTTTAAAACTAATAATAACAGTCTAACTTATGTCTTTCCCCGAAGAGCTTTAAGCTCGATTGTCCTAACGAGCTGCGGCAAGAGGCTGGCATTAACACAAGATTGTTCGTGCATGTTATGGGTTTACGAATGCTTCTGTTATGCAAATGTTGATGGAACTGGTACGAATGCCAGCGCGCGGTGCTGTTATATGGAATCGGAAATGGGAGGGGTGGACGACTTCATTCATTACCATCCAATGCTACCCATTACGAGTACATAGCTTAAATTCTAAAAAATCAGTATTATACGCCACAAAAAAGTATGTAAACTGCGTTTATTATTGAAGATTACAAAAAGCATCTGCTCGTGGGAGAATATACAAGGATTTAATTAAAGGCTTGTTTATAAGTATAGTGTATTATATTTTATTGTTACCGACTTGACTAATAAATACTGGCTACATAGTATTTTAGATGGATTTATGTTTTATGCAGATCATATCAATGCTAATTAATTAAAAAAAGATTCACATTACTCAATACTCTACTCGTGATCTGTCAGCTGGGCTCCTAACGAAGTCGATGATGCCATTAGTAATAATAATAAATCGCAAATAATCATATTGAATGCCTGTTATAATAATTATTTTTTAGATATAAATATTAAAAATTCATTAAGGATGTGAAAATTATATTTCGATGATTTATAGAGGCTAAAGCTGTATTTGTATCAATATGATGATCGATTTTCATTAAAAAACGGATCCGGTATAAGGTTTCAATCAAAGCCGAAATGAGATTTTAATAATCATTATGCGACTTCAAAAAACTAATGAGTGCTAATGAACATATGATAATAAACAGATGATCTTTATAATCTTTAATGAAGGTTGTATTCAGTATTATACTTGATCATCTTCCCATTATTTTTAAATTAAGGACAGGAAGAAAGAAAATTCATCATCGACAAACAGATCATTAATGCCCGTTTTCACCATCAATCCCAAATTTTTAAATGACCCCTATGGTAACACATCACAGGAATTTTGTTTTCGTAGGGGTCACTTAAAAATTAGGGATTGATGGTGAAAACAGGCATTAGTCTCTACTGCAGGAGCACTACCCTCTCTAATTTACTAGATGGAGGACTTGCCTATTTACCCTCGCTTCTACTTTAGGACAAAAGTAATAAATGTAACTGTAATATTTTTTGCAATTTATCTGGGGGCACGGCAGTGCCCCCACCAAGTCGAGCAAAAAAGCAGCACGGCCGTACCATCCTTTTCTCGAAGCAATTCAGGCCATTTTCGACCGCCTGTAACTTCGTTGTGGATAAAACTAGAAGGCTGAATTTTCATTAGCTATGCAGGCATTGTAAAGACACGGTATATTTAAAATTTCATTCAANCGCTGGTACAGACGCACTCTCTCGTCCTTGCCTTCGTGAATCCAATGGAACAGATAGCTGCTACAATCGGTAGATGGCTTGGATGCAGTTTCTGGCCGATAGTTTCTACTGACCTCTACTACCGCCCTTGGCCTTTAACTTTACCTTGCTGACTCGCCATCTCCGCCAAGATCATTTGTATATCTACTATTGTTTGCCATCGATGCCGAGCCAGACTTCATACACTAAATAGGAGGTTTCCATTGGAAAGAGACACTCACAAAGTGAGCGCTCACTCTCGACCAGGTTTAGCCCACGAGCCGACGTGGTTTACCGGGGTGTGGCCGCTGTGTGTACAACAGCTACTTGGAGCCACTGGTGAGAGATTATAGGCTATCCATGGTCCAGTCCCGCAGTGTCGCTACCTTTGCAAAAAGGGTCGGCTAACGACGCTACGGGGAGTACTAAACNGCGTGGAATGTGCGTACGCTGATTGACAATGACCGAAACCTTTGCCCGGAGCGCAAAACTGCCGTCGTAGCTCGCGAACTTGGTCGTTATAATATAGACATTGCTGCTCTTAGCGAGACACGTATAGCTGATCAAGGCGAGCTCGAAGAAGTAGGCGGTGGTTACACATTTTTCTGGAAAGGGCGTTCTCAGACCGAATCTAGGCAAGCCGGTGTAGGGTTTGCTATAAAAACATCTATTGCCAAAAAGCTACCGGAATGTCCACAATACATCTCGGACCGCATAATCACTCTGCGTCTTCACCTGGAGAATAATAATTTCCTCAATGTTATAAGCGTATATGCGCCTACAATGAGCAATGAAGATAGTGTCAAAGACCAATTCTATGAGGAACTATGTCAGTGTGTTGGCAAAATTCGCTCAAGTGAGCAGATTTTGCTACTAGGCGACTTCAATGCTAGGGTTGGTCGAGATTATGAGTCGTGGCCACGTGTGTTGGGCAAAAATGGTATTGGCACCATGAACAGTAATGGGCAACTGTTGCTCACTCTATGTGCACAATTCGATCTTACCATAACTAACACGCTGTTTAGACTGCCCGATAAATACAAAACCACCTGGATGCACCCACGTTCCAAACATTGGCACCTAATTGACTATGTAATAACCCGGCGAAGAGATGTACCCCAGGTGAATATTACCCGTGTAATGCGTGGCGCTAATTGTTGGACTGACCATAGACTTTTAATTTCCAAACTGAAACTGCGTTTACGGTTGCCACGAAGGTTTATTAGACCTAAGCCTAAGTCCCTCAATTTGGATGTGCTAAGCTGGCCAGAAGTGCGGGAAGAGTATCAAAAGAACCTGTCAGATTTATTGACAGCGTATGATACTCTTGACGGTGGAAATGAAGCGTTGTCGCAATGGCAGCATCTTTCTTCCTCTGTACAAATT